CCCCAAAACCCCAAAACCCCAAAACCCCAAAACCCCGTCTTATAAGAATATGTATATATTTGTAAAATTTCAATATATTAAAAATGTTTGCTTAAATAAAGTAATATTTAAATTAATTTTATAATTCAACGAATTAATTTTTTATGTAAAAGGTTATATCAGAGTCATAATAATCTTATCCTAAACTTGAAAAAGGTAGTTACTAATTTATAGACACTGAATCCTCTGAGAACTAATCAATGTCCTCAGTATCAACTATTAAATAAAATCCAAGAAGGAAATGGAATTGCTGTAAAATAAATTTAGACCCACTCAGATCTTTTAATAAAAATATAATTGCCATCTTTGCTTTACATAACTTTATTGAAGGATTAAAGAGAGCAAAAGGTTAGGCAATAGAAATTAATTTAAGAACTGATTTAAATCTAGATCCAGCAGAGATTTAGACTATTATGATGATAACTAAGTTTGCTTTTATATTCAAGGTAATTTTTGGAATATTGATAGACTAGATCCATTTTATTAGAAGAAATCTCTTTAAATGGATAATACTGTTTTAATTACTTGAGTTATTTTCTTTTTCATTCCTAGCTTTGAATTCGACAAAAAATATCTCAGTACTCACATTTATACTAACTCTAGAAAATTTCTCTGGAGCTTTAATATTGCTGATTTTCTAAAACTTGATCAAAAACGAGGCTGATAAAGACTAATTGTAAGGTGCTAGTATTTTGACCAATTTAAGATATTATTTAACAAACTGTGGTGGAATAATCAGTGCCATAATAGCAGCTATCTCAACCAAATATCTTGGGACTAGTAATAGCTATTGGATCATATGTGCCCTAATTATCATTCAACTAATAGTGTTTATCTTCTTTTCCTATTATATGAAAAGATAAAGTCTAACCAAATAGACTATGGAAACTTTAATAGATGATAAAGATAAAGTTGAGAATTTTGACAAAAATAGTAATATAAAAAATAACAATTCTATAAACATTACTTCAATAAACCAAAGGACAAATATTCTAAAAAATCCAAAAAGATAAACAAAGCGAACATTTTGCTAAAAGATATAGATGCTTAGAGAGATTTATTTAACACTAGCTTTCATTTTTATCCACGCCATTCTTTCTCCATCATATGCACCTTTTGAATCAAGATTCAGCTCTTAAGTATTAGGCTATAGTAACACTACGATATGTCTGCTTGCGATCATCGGATATATCATTGCAATTTAAGGAACTTTTTACGTTTAAAAATGGTTTAACAACTCGGAACCTAGAAATCTAGTTCTTATTTTTTAACTTGCTAAATTGGTTTCACTCTTCCTAAATTATATTCAGAATATGAGATGGAATGTGGGTATCCTTCCTGATATTGTTTACACAATTGGGATTTCATTTTTAGCAGATCCAATTTATGCGACATTCTACGATGTTGCTCTCTAGATTATTTACATGAAATTATCTCCATCAAGATACTAAACTTCTATGGGAGCCCTCTACCTTTCATTTGCTATTGTATCTTAAAGTTTTGTTAGTACTCCAGTAGCATTGGCACTGAATACATAATTCACTCAGGTCGATAAGAATAATATAGAGGACATCTATAAACTCAAATATATCCAAATGATCTTTTGTGTTGCAGTAATACCATTTACTTTTCTTCTGCCAAATTTTGATAGATTAAACCGATTCAACTCAGCCTTAGCAGAGTTAGAGCTTGACTAGGTAGCTGATTAACCAATCTCAGCATCAGATCTCAAATTTTAAAATCACAATTCTTGGTATGTGGGAGGAACCCTAGGCGAAAGTAGCTTTGAAACTTTCTAAATTGATAGAAAAAGTGTTGAGCAAAATATTAAGTTAAGATTAAGAAAAAGCTAAAGACAATAATCTACTTAAAATCAGATTTGAACTAAATTAAAAGAAAAAAAATGAATTGATATAGCAATTTATTAATTTCATCATTCTTCAAGTGTTGTTTAATTTCATAAAATCTTTAGTTTAAGATCTAGGCGGGGTTTTGGGGTTT